ATGAATAATGATTTTATTGCCTAAGAAAATAGTTCCAAAAATTAGCTTTCTTTGGATCTGAATCTAACCTGAAATCTTATAAGTGATAATTTAGCCTTTTAATTTGACATGCGTTATATTTTTACGTCTAAATTTTAATGAAACCAGTATTAAAATTACTTAAATATGAAAAATAATCTTAACGTTTACAATAATTTGAAAATAAAGTCAAATTTATCTATCTATCTATATATATATACAATGTTGTATGATCTTAAATTCGTTTAGTGCGAAAACAAGTTACTACTACTTGCGCAATTGCTGCAAAGTAAGTTAATAATAATTTATTTACTAAATAATATTGATTAATTGATTATATTATCTCGTAAGTTTAATTATAGTATGAATATCTTAAAAGAGTGAATCCATACTAGTAAGTTATATTTTGAAAGATGTTTTTGAAGTAACTTGAAAGTAAAATGTTAAAAATGCTTTAACGGGGACTGGAATTAAATCATGAATAACAAAATTTCAATTGTAAAAGGAATAAGTTAAAGGCAAGAATTAAATTAAATGCATTAGTCATTATCATTGATCAATAGTTACTTTTAAGGGAACAACACCCCTTCAAGACAATTTAAAAAACGAAGTGTTGCTCTTTTCGAGCAAGCAGCAAACCTTTTAGGTCCGTTCGGAACCTTGATGTATCGTCTCGGCGTTCGTACTCTCTCATAGGCTTGTCACGGTAGTAGACGCTCGTTTTTACGAACTCGTAGGGACTACGAAAACAGTTCGTTAAATCGAGAGTTCGTAATTTAGAAAGGCATCGGAAATTGTTAGTATTTCACATTTTAATGTTTTCGAGACAGGTTAGTGATACTATTCCATGCTTTTATTTATGTATTAGGAATTATTTTTAATAGTATTACTACTTAATAAATGATATCCATTCTATTAAACAAACAAGAAATATAAAATATTTGTAAAACGTACCTTTATTAAGTCATTGAGCAACAAAATAATCACTTATCTTTGTCTGTTTTAAAACAACAGATTGTACAATGCAAGACTCCATCTTCTCTATATTTGTTAGCATTTCACAATTATCACTGGCCTCAAAAAATCGTCTAAGTTCTGACAAGTATTCAGCAGCTTGTTTTAAAGTCGGTCTTGGTGTTACTTCATTTTCTTCTTCTTCTTCTGGATCTGAAAGTCTCTCATTCTCGTTGTTGATTATGCTGCTAATAATATCGTGATCCGATATTTCCTCCGTGCAGATGACATTAGAATCCACATTTAAAAAATCCTCGAATGAAAGTTCTGGCAACTGTGGATTTCTACGGCGAAGTTCATGCATGAGAACCTCATCTTCGTCGTGAGATCTATTGTCATGGATTTCTTCAGTTACGTCTGTTTCTTTAATAAAACCTGCATGTCGAAAGGCTTTAGAAATTGTTTCATCTAAAACATCATTCCATGCACTGATTGATAAATGCATTGCACCAAGAATATCAATCTGATAAGGTTGTTCCCTTTCCAAGCCAAGGATTACTCTTTGCAAGAGCACTGTCTTATATTTTCGCTTGAAACTATTGATTATCCCCTGATCCATTGGCTGTAAAACTGCAGTTGCATTTGGTGGGAGATATTCCACACGGATTGCCTGAAGCCCAGTGACTTCCATGTGTGCAGTACAATTGTCCACGATTAGGAGAACTTTGCGCTTCTCTGCTGAAAAACGGTTATCTAAATCTCTCAACCATTTTTCGTAGATGTTGCCAGTCATCCAGGCCTTATTATTAGCATAATATGCAGCAGGAATCTTCTGAACATTTTTGAAACACCTTGGTTTCAGATATTTTCCAATAAAGAGCAGAGGCAATTTTTGTGACCCAGTCATGTTGGCTGCAATCAAAACTGTAAGTCTCTCTTTAGCTTTATTACCTCCAACACATTTATCTCCTTTGTAAGCTAATGTTCTTTCTGGCAAAATCTTAAAAAACAAAGCCGTTTCGTCCGCATTAAAAACGTCATCTGCAGCGTATTCAGAAAGAAGCAATTTCAACTTTTCTTCTTTCCATTCATTTGCTGATGACGTGTCTACTGCTGCACTTTCACCACACACTTTCCGGAAACTCAAACCATTCCGAAATTTAAATTTCTGTAACCAACCATCCGATGCTTTAAAATCTTTGATGTTTAATTTGGAAGCAAAAAAGTGTGCTTGTTCTTTAAGTACATTTCCATCAATTGGAATGTTTAAGCTTCTCATCTTTCGAAACCAAACAAGCAAAGCCCTTTCCAAATTTGGGTGTTTTGATTCTCGAAAATATTTTCGAGAGGAGGGTCCACATTCATCGTTTCCGTTTTTAGCTCCAAAGATCTTCTCTCTTGCCTTTAAAATCGTCGATAAACTATTTTTAGGAATTCCATATTTCTGAGCAATTTGTGTCTTGCTTAATATTTTTTCGTCAACTTCTTTTAAAATCTTCTTCTTTATTTCAACCGCTAAACAAATTCGTTTCTTCATTTGCGACATAGCTCTAAGAATCTTACTTAACAAAAACTGGCCCAATCTCCCTCTCGACTAACGAGACTTCACTGATTGAGTTGTCCAGATCAAATGACTATGACATTACAAAAAGCAACAACTCTCTTTTAGAAGCAACCCAAACCCCTTTAACACGAATGGTCTCACCCCCACCCAACAACATCAGGCCGATGCTCTTCTGAGAGCCTCCCACAACAAACAACACCATAAATTTGTCCTAATTCCCCCTCTTCTCCGCCCCCTCCTTCCTTACTGTACTTCTTCGAATGTTTCGCACTTGCTGCCTCAAAATAGTTGGAGATTTTATTTGACCTTCACACTTCGTCCCAATGAAACACGCAGAAGTATGAAAACTGAGTTCGCAAAAAAGAGATTTTCCTGATTTGTAGTTCGTAAATAAGAGCGCAAAATTACATTACATCTATGGGAGTGTATTCGGGACCATTCGCTAGTTCGTCAAATCGAGAGTGTTCGTAAAAAAGAGGTTCGTAAAACGAACGTCTACTGTATAATTTGAATAGTTTAGACATTTGGCAAATGAGTGTGCGCCGTCATGAAGAATTTTCCTTCGGCGATACTTCATTAAAATTTCGCTTTTTAAGTTGTATTCCAACAAATCTATGCTTGCTAGCCGTCCCCCCTTTCCCCACCCTAGCTACGCCATTGGGCACATGACGATCCATTTAGAACTAAGAACATATAGTGAATTTGAGTTTCAGAAAGCAACGCATTCCATTTACTCTGTATCACGTGAAGAACATCAGTAAAACAAAAAGACGAAAGTAAAAGTCAAGTGGCCGCCATCAGTCGACGAAAAAGGTGAGTGTCTGGTCGAAGATCCAAATCAGTGAACTGAAGAATCTAGTATAAGTAAAAAATGTTAAGGCTGGAGAATGTCAGATGGATATTTGTGCTTTTCTCTGGGAAATGGAGAACATTTAAGAGAGTTGATGCAGTTGTTAGGATGAGTGAAAACTGAATAGAAGAAATTTCTGACAAGTTTTTGAATATAATCTTGAATTGTATCTTCTTTGAGATCACGGTGGATATAAGAATTTGGAATGAACCATGGCGCGTTGATGCTTTGTTTTGAAGAACTTGGATGTGTTGAAGGTGAGTTTTGGCTGCGTAGCCCCAGACAGGACTAGCATAGAGTAATGCTGCGAAGATATAGATTTATATAAGAGGAGTTTATTAGAAACGGACATATGACTTCTGCCAAGAAGTGGGCGCATAGTTGCAAGCGTGATATTCATTTTTTTTTTCAGTTTCCCTGAGATGTTTCTGAAAAGTCAATTTTTTATCAAGAATGACTCCTAGATATTTAACTTCGTCAACCCAGTCAATTTCTTCATCACACAGAAGAGGTCTAGGTGGAATGTTTGACCTTTGCGAAAAATTATTGCTTTTGATTTTTCGGTATTAACTGCAATCCTCCAAAGAGTGAGCCAATTTTTTAGATGATTGAGGAGCTGGACATCAGTAACAGTAGAAGCTTGGATCATAATTGCAGTATCATCAGCGAAAAGAGCAATGCTAATTTGTGTGTCCTTAGGAATATCGTAAATGTAAATGTTATATAAATATGGAGAAAGTACTGATCCTTGAGGCACTCCAGCGAAAATTTTTCTCGTGGGAAGAAACAGAACTGCCAATTTTCACTGCAAAGATTCTCTCTTGGAGATAGAAAGGAATAGGTCTAATACAGTGATCGGGGAAGTTTAACTCAGGGGCGTAGCTAGAGTTTCCAGCGCCCGGAGACAATCGAAGAATTGTTTCCCCTTTCTGTGTGCCAAGAATGGAAAGCATTTCATTAAAAAATTACGTAGCATCAATTTGGCGCCCCTTGGATGCAGCGCCCGGAGACAGATTCTCCCCCTTGCTCCACCCTAGCCACGCCACTGGTTTAACTTAATAAGTTTGTATATAAGTTCCCAGTGCCATACCCTATCAAAAGCTTTCGCAATATCAAAGAAAATGGCTCCGGTAGGGAATTTACAATTGAAACCGTCAGTAATATAGTTGATGACACGAAGCAGCTGGTGATGAGTACTGTGAAGATGACGGAAGCCAAACTGTTCGTCTGGAATGTAGGAGCTCTGTGGAATAATTTGATTAAGATGATAAAGAATAACTTTTTCAACTATTTTAGAAAGTTGACTGAGAAGGCTGATTGGGCGGTAGTTCTGGGGAAACGTTGAATTTTGATGCGGTTTTGGGTCCATTTAGAATGAAATATGGTTTTATAAAGTAATATATCGTATTCGAAACGATCCAAAATATTGAAGAAGAGAAAATATACATTTATATTTAGATTTATGATGTGATTAAAAATATTTACTCGAAATTTACAAACCTGCAATGGTAACTGAATGTTTTGAGGACCAGAAGGGGCGGATCAAATGTCTTCATCATAACAACGCTAGCGCTTGGAAAGTCATTTCACTTATGACAGAAAGTTGCCATGGGAACGACTCATACTACCATACAAGACACGGAGTTAGACCTTCTTGGTGAAAGATGGATTTGATCGTTTATGAGGATTTAAAAACTGTTGTTAAAACCATATTGTCCATAATCTAGACACCCGAAATTTCAGTTTTTGCATCTTATGCGGTTATTTCTCCCTTAATTTATTTAAGGATGCCTGTAAGTAAATATATACTGTATTTTTTCCATTCCAAATATTCCGCCAGATTGCTAATTTTTTGTTGATTTATTTTATAAAGATAAAATTCAATGGTGATACGTTAGACAAAGAAGTAAAATAAAGGATGAATGAATTGTAAAGCATAATAATGTCGTTTGTTTTGAAGGTGGAAGCTCCGGAAGCTGAAAATATCAAAGTTGTGGTAAGATGTCGACCTATGAATGAAAGCGAAATAGCGGCGAATTACAGAAGCATAGTTAAGGTAACTTTTTATCTTCGTCATATAGGAACTACCCATCGAAGTTTAGATCAAAACATTTTATTAATTGATATAATTTATTTCGAAGTTTAGATCAAAACATTTTATTAATTGATATAATTTATTTATTTTTAATTGCTATCTTATTATTTTGCAGTATATTTTTATACTGCAATAATGTGATTCTTTTGAATGAAAGGATTCATATTTTGCTAGTAATGCATATATGCAGAGGATTAAAAAAGGTTTCCATGTGGAAAGCAAAGTTACAAATATATTAGGTTAATTTCTAATCTTTGCTTCATACCTGCAGTAATTACTGAAATATATTTGAGTTTCTAAAGTGAATTTATAATAAATGTCTGTTTTACAAAATGTGGCTAGTCTTTTTATTAAATATTTAAGAGTTATTGCAAAGTGTCACTTAAAAAATGTTTCTGTATGTAAAATGGATTCCATCAAAATGAGATTGTCATGTCATCATTTTTTTCAAATATTATAAAATTACCTAATTTGCTACTGGCTACAGAAACTTTAAAAGTTATTTGAGCAGATTTAAATTGGCTTTTTGTGACTGCATCATCGATGGTGAGGAAAATGTTGAACATGGAATTTTTCTATGTTCCAGATATGACAGTGAAAGAAATACCTTAAAACTGGTACTGGAAAATGTTAACTAGCTTCAAAATGTTCATCAGTTTATTTCTGAGAAATATGCCTTTGACTGTTTTTGTTAATTCATTATAAATTTTTATAATCCTTCATAATTTTATTTTTCTCTTTCTGTTTATTATTTTTTTATTGTGTTTCATATTTACTTGTGTAATCTTCTTGTGTTACTTTGTGGTACATGCGGAATTCTTTGTGTTTTTAATTAAAAGAAAGAATATGGGAAACAATCCTGACATCATGTACGACTGACCTGCATTAAATTTTCGAAGTTTTATGTGAACAGCGTCATAGCAACAGTTGTTTAATTCTAGCTTGTAGATGGATTGTGTTAAAATGGAAGTTCCTAAAGTTATTTTGTGAGTTGGTGATTCAGTTACAAAATGACAGATTATCAATGAAAAAAACTGGTAAAAATCATTAATAAATCTAAGTCTAGAGTTTAATATATTATTGAATGATGCTGTGAGCTTCAAACAATTCAGACAGTGAGGGATGTTATTATAAAAGCAGGTCACAATTGATGTACAGCTTGTATAAGGCCTTTTCTAAGTCAATCTACAGGAAAAAAACCACCTTGGTTTGTAAAGAAGCATGTAAATAAGCCTTTATCTTTCTGGGAATTCGATCCTTTTTAGTGATGAATCAAAATTTAATATCCATGGGTCAGATGGTGTGGAAAAAATCAAATGCTAAAGAATTTGTGTGTTAAACTCAGTGACAGAAGTGTCATAGTTTGGGCCTATAATGAGTGCTTCTGGTATAATCCATTTATGGTTTGAAATATGAATAGGTAAATGTATCTTGGCATTCTAAAGCAAGACACCTTGACCAGTGCAGAAAAATTGTTCCCCTGGAACTACGTATACTTTCTAGGACAATGATTCTAGAAATACCTCTGAGATTTGTCAAGAATGACATCTCTATTATTCTATTATTCAGCAACTTCATAACTCATCCCCAGTCTTCCTATTTAAGCCACTTTGAGAACATTTGTAGGAAGAAATCAGTCATGGTCTTAGAAAATGTGACATTAAGAACAAGGTTAAACTAAGAAGTGCCATTCAGTATTTGGAGCGACATTTTGCCTGAAACAACAACAAAAAAAAAAAAAAAAAAAAGCTCGTGAGAGTCATGCGAAAACATTAGAGAGAAGTAATAAAGGCCGAAACAAGGGTGCATACTAACAATCAAATATAACTTTGTCAACATGAAAACGATCTTTTATAAACTATAAAAATACTGTATGGAACCTTTTTTTCTTCTTCATTAGTGACATTTTTGTTTCTTTAAATGTATTGGTGAATCGTCGGATTATGGTAACTTGCCGAAAATTTGGCGACAAACCCTGCTACAGCAACCTGCTAGTTTTTTTTTTTTTTTTTTTTTTGGATGCCATTTTGTTTTCACGAAGTAAAGGCATTTTTTTTTTTACTCAACATTTTTCTGACAATCTGCTAGTCGAATTACGTTTATGCTAGAACTTTTATGGAACAAAAGTGCTTATCATGAAGATTAGGTGCGAAATTGTTTCTGAATGCTTATCAGCTAAAATCACAATTGGAATTTTCTGGAAAGTAGTGGAACAAACATGCACAGAAATTTGTTTTTACAGGGCAAATTTATATATGATACATCATGTTGGACATTCATGCTTATCTACAATTAAACCTACACTCATACACCATTCAAGCAACTCTTTTGGATGATCACATAAATGCAATAAAAATTTGGAATTTACTTTAGAGAGGGCCATGGGATCTAAATATTAAGCAATACTGTTTCACACAAGATACAAGATGGAATGAAGCTGAACGTACAAAATAGTATGAAGTACTGCAGATATTTTTTGCAAATTTCTTTCCTTTTTGGATTAAAGAACTCTGATTCGTCCATAAATATCACATGACATGTCTCAGGATTTCTCATTTGTGACAAAATAATCTGTGATTGGAACTCTGTACTTCTCAGATTATTGCTAAAGTCCTAGCTATTGATTATTGCTAAAGACCTTTATCGCCTCACCAAAATGTCGCCAAACTACCTGTTACCATATTCCAAAGATTAGCTATGTGTTATTTAGTTATCTCAATATTTTTCTTTGCAATGCCCATAAATAAAATATGTACTTAGTTTGAACCAATTTGTCAATTTTTATTTTTTTTTTTCACAAATGATTTTAAGTAAGAAATTAAACTTTTATTTATGATCACAGCTGTGTATGAAAACTTTTTTATCCACTGTATGTACAATTAGGATAGGGCTAAGTTCAAAACTTATGTATCAAAGTGGAATTTGTTATTAGAATGAAATAACTGCAGTAACAGGATCAAGGAGTGAAATAATTTGGCTGGCCTTAACATCTATTGCAGGGAATTAATAATAAAAATAAGTTAAAATTTTAAATACAGGTGGGATACCTAGGGGAAGCTGTTGAAATGTGAATGGGCAAAGTTCGGGAATCTGAAACTAGATGGTGACACGGTAGTGGCGCAATGTTAGAAGTAGTTACAAACATTAATCATAGATGGCGACACTTATGCATGCCTTTAGAACTGCATAGAAATGGATAAAATTAAACAAATTTCCTGGGGAAAATTAAGAGATTAAGGGGGAAATAAATTAAAAATTCAACATTCAAAATAAATTAACTTTAGTGCCAAAGCACTGCTCCAGGCCTTTTTCTATTTTCGTCAACTGTGTAGTCATAATTCAGACTTGGGATTGAGCTATTATTTACCTTGTCAATATTCCTAAAAAATGTTTTGGCTATTCTAGCTATACATACATTATTTTTGTTAACATTTAGTCGTTATCAATTGCATTGTTTCTGATGTACCAGGGGTAATTTGCCATTCTTCTAAGCATAATATTCTGGCTTTGCTGAATCTGTTTCATTTTTGAATCACAAACAAAACCCCAGACAGGACAGACGTAAGTTATGATGAGATGCAACATGGATTTGTAAATATGAATTTTATTTTCGAGAGATAGAACGGGGTCTCAGGAAATTAAGGGGTTGAGTAAAGCTTTAGTACCCTGAAACTTATTTAAAATATATGTTATGTATGGGGTTGAAGTGAATCTTTGGTCTAAAATGACACCAAGGTATTTTACTTGCTTGGCCCAAGGAATGCTGACGTCATACATCTTGAGCATGATGTTCAAGTTGATGTTTCTTTTATTCGTGAAGTTATTTTATTTCTTTTATTTTCCATTTGGTCATCCAGGACTCTAATGCATGGATGTGTTCTTGTAGTATGACTGCAGTCATAGACGTGTTTTGATGGAGAATCGCAATGTCATCTGTATAATGCTAATGCAGTGAGGGGGTTGTGAGGAATGTCGTTCGTATAAATTGAAAATGAAGTGGGCGAAAGTAAACTTGTGGTAAACCAGCAAGAGTTACTTTCCGTGTGGAGTGAATATTGTTATAACGAACGATAAATGTTTTGTTGCTGTTGAATTGAATTTTATGGTTTAAGTGCAAAGAACAAGACATTTAATAAATAGAGGTAACATACAAAATGTTAAAAGACACTCCCTGCTTTAGGCATTATTAGAATCTGATTTTTTTTAAATTATTTTTTAAGAAATTTTTAACTGCTTTAACCATATCCAATTGTTATCTTTTCATAATAAACCGTATGGAGAGTCCCGATTCTTAATTTTATTTTTGCACTAAATAAAATATTTCCGTAATGAAGAAACAATCATTTACTAGCATAAATCTGTATAATTCATAATTTGGCACCGTAACTGCTAATTTTCTTGGCATACATCTCAAACTACATTGAAATATCGATTTTACACCTGCTGAATAATTTATATCACTGATGTCAACCTGGCGAATCATTATTTATTATTTTTTGCTATCAACTTATGACTATCAACTCACTGCAGCTTGAGAAAAGACATGTAGTGATGTCTTAACCTCTTTTTTTAAATGTTAGTAATTGAATACCAAAGAGCATGGTAACCATAATTTTGGCATTATGCTTGCTGATGATTACAGACTTCATCTAACTGTGCTGCAAAGTGGGTGGACAAGGAGAAATTTAATAGAAATTTCATTCCATAGGCAAAAAAATACATTTTATAAATGATACTCATTGGCCAAGTATTTATATCTAAATGCTGTTTGTATTGAGAATAACTGGTTCATTATTCAGATAAGCCAAGGATGGGTGCCAGAGCTGGTGTGGCCACACTGGATGACAGAATTTAGAAGAGACAAAATTTTCAAAATTTAGGGAAGAACTGAGCAACAAAATTAAGTGATAGCAAAATCTTTAGAATCTAGGCAAAGCACTGGAAGACAAAATTTGGTGGTGACAAAATTTTAGAGCTTAGTGAGGTGCTTGGGAGCAGGATTTTAGCATCTGTTAGCACCGAGCTGTAAAATTTTTAATGCTGGTCCTGGATAAGTCTTATGTATATGTGAAAATTTATGTATTCAGGACTCAGATAAATATTAAGCATGTGTGGGGAACTGGCATAAGTGTAATAAATATAATTTAGGCTTAGCTTCGTCAGCATGCGATAGAAGCAAAATATTGCTGAGCAACAGTGTCTTAAGGGCCAATCTCATGTGCTTCATCAATAGTGTGTGGCAGAAGCTAGCTAAGCTTTATGATGATACCTGCGAATTTGAAGGTTTTCAAATATCACTAACAAAAAGCAAAATTTTTACATAGAGAAATGGTAATAAAGGAAGATGATATAGCAGAAGCTTTTCATTATTATGACAATGCCCTAATCGTAAGTCAACTAATGGGTGTCAAAATCTGTAGTATAGTTCTAAATTGAGAAAATATTGTTACCGATAATCAAGAACGTGTTGGGAATGAAAAGAATTTTGATTGGCAGTTTAGCAGAAATTCTTGATGTGGCAATTACCGGACTTGAACAATGGAGCATTATACATGAACAAGAAATTTTGCATATCCGTATAATTAAAAGGAAAGTATTAGCATGAAAAAATCAATCAACTTAAATTACTTTACTTACAAGGAAAGAAGTATTTAATAAAGCAAACAAACAAATACCGAGTTTTTTTTTTTTTTGTAAATGATTCCCTTAATGCCATAAATACATCATTATTTTATAAATCACTGTTTCAAGTTTTTAATTATAGAATTTCTATGTGTCATTTTACTAACATACTGTCATTTAAACTCATAATCTAATATACAGAAAAATCCCAAATCCAGAATCATGGAAGTTCCTCTCGAGTTCAGATCTCGGGCTTTTTACTGTACTTTTTTTTTCCTAACCGTATAATAATTTAATGTTACCATGGGAGAGAAAATATTTTAGACTTATTAAATAAATAACTAAATTTTGATGGAAAAAAAAAGTTCATGATAAAATCAAATGCAAGCAAAAACCATAAATAACCTGTTTTTGATTTTGCAGGTAAATTCAATTGAAGGAACTGTGACTCTGTGTAATCCAAGTTCTTCAGAATATGATCCTCCAAAGACATTTACATTTGATACAGTATTTGGAACAGACTCAACCCAGTTGGATGTATATAACTTGGCGGCTCGGCCAATTGTTGATAATGTACTGGAAGGTTATAATGGTAAAGTTTTATTTTATTAATATTAGAAGATTGATTAGTATTATAAATGCTTCTTATATACACTCTTAGACAAAAAAAAAAAAAAAAAAACTATGCACCATGATGTACCGAGAAGATATAAAGCAAATTGGATACAAATTGATATGCGTACAGGTTTCAACGGAAAATGCAAAATTTTACATTTTGGCTGCCAATAAATGAATGGTTGTTGCTATAGCACATCTGATCTGTGCAACTGGCAGGATAGTTAAGAAAATAAATTACGATTTCAAATCATAAATTCTTCATGAATTTCATTCTGTGTACTCTGGTAGACAGTAACTATGCCTCGCGTACAGGTGCGTGAACGATGTACACAGATGTCAGAATTTGAGAGAGGTCATGTAGTTCGGATCAAAGAAACCGGTTGGTCTTATCAGTGAATAGTTCGACATTTGAGCAGGAGCGATGTCACTTTTAGACGATATTGGCAGGAATGGGTGAACCATGGCCGCTCACAGCGTCAAGAAGGAAGTGGTAGGTAGGCCTAGAGAAATGACAGAATGTGAAGACTGAGCAATAATCATCAGAGCGCCACTCACAGCCCCAGTTGCATCATTATCATCGATTGTATGTGCAACTAGTGCTTCAGTGACCGCAAGGACCATTCGTAGACGGCTCACAGAAAGGGGGCCGAGGTACAGAAGTCAATGGTAGTCGACGCCCCTGGCACTGACTACCATTGACGTCTGTACAACGTCAAGCTCGTTTGCAGTGATGTCAGGCTCATTCGCACTGGAATGTCACTGACTGGAGTAGAATAGTCTTTAGTGATGAGTCCCGCTTTGAACTGAGCCCCGATGACCAGCGAAGGCAAGTCTGGAGATGCCCAGGACAGTGGTGTGATACCAACCTGACTGTCTTCCGGCAGACAGGCCGACAACTAGAAGTGATGGTCTGGGGTGCCATTTCATTTCATAGTAGGACCCCTTTGGTTGTCATCCATCGCAAGCTTACGGTACAGCGGTACATCGACGAAGTTCTAAGGCCTTTCTGTTGCCCTTCATGTCACGGCCCCCCCAGGCTTACATTTCAGCAAAGTAATGCCCGCCCCCACACTGCATGTTTCTACTGCTTGCTGAACATTACCTTAGCCAGCAAGGTTGCCGTATCTCTCTCCTATTGAGCACGTTTGGAGCATTATGGGCAGGGCCCTCCAACCAGCTTGGGATGTAGACGATCTAACGTGCCAGTTGGATAGAATTTGGCACGATATCCCTCAGGAGGACATTCGCAACCTCTATCAATTGATGCCAAGACGAATAAGTACTTGCATAAGGGCCAGAGGTAGACAAACACTTTACTGACTTTTTTACTTTGTGAAGCTCTATCACTTCAATAAATCATCCAATTTTTCTCAAACTGTAATTATTTGTTTTTCTGTACATGTACATCACTTCTACTGATTTTCATCCCATTCGGATAACTCCTTCTTGGTACATCATTTTTTTTTTTTTTTTTTTTTTTTTTGTCTAAGAGTGTATTTAGCTTAAAAGTAACTAGGTATTATAAAATTTACATTTTGTAAGGAAAAACCAATGATAAATAAAAATTAGTATTCAGAAGTAGCAGAATTTAATTACATTAAGTTTTTGTATAGGAACTTCTGCATTTTTAAAAGAGTACATGGGATCTTAAAATAAATAAATAAATAAATAAATAAAATAAAGATTTAAAAAAAAAAAGCAAAAGACAACAAATTCAAAAATATAAAAGCCTGTAAATACAGCAATTTTGAACATAATTAATTTTAGCTTAATGTTTACATTTTTTTAAAAAAATTTTATGGGGAATATATTTTGCCATGCAGAGACTTAAAAATTTTTAAATCTCTGAAATTAATTCTATTCGGTTTGAGCTGTTAGTCATAAAAGAAAGTTTGAGTTCTATAATTATATTCAAACATAATGAACATTATACTTTAGTAGACATTTCCTATAAATGGAAATTTTTTGAATCCTTGAAATAAGACATCAAACTATTTCAAGTAGGCAGGGGAAAATGTTGACTTCAAATTTTGGTGCTTTCTGATTATTTATACCCATATGAAAAGTCACCAACTCATTAGCAATTTTGTGAATTGGTGCAAAAACATTTTGTTTGGTTATATTATGAGGTATTTCTCCCGCCTTCGTAGCATGCCTTTGTGGTGTAGTAGTCTGCATGCTGGGTGCATGTCCAGAGTTGATTCCCGGCAAAGGCGTTGCTAATTTTCCAATTCTTCTGCTTCCCAAAAAATACGTAATGTCTCTACAGTGGCATCCGAACTAAAAGGGTGCTGGATGATGATTCTCCTCCCCCTGGATTTGGCAATTGGGTTCCCTAAAAATCCTAGTCGCCCTTTAAAAGGGGGAGTATATAAAGTATTTCTCCTGCTTTCGTCGTGTAGTGGTTTACGTGCTGGGCGCGTATCCAGAAGTCCGTGGTTCGATTACCGGCAAAAGCATTGCTAATTTTTCAATTCTCCTGCTTCCAAAAAAATGCCTAATGTCTCTACACTATTTATGATCAGTGATTTTGGTTAGTGGTCATCTTTATGTTTTATAGTCAGTGGTTATTGTTTAATATAGTAATGGTTACGTATAAAGTGTGTAAATGTGAATGTACTCAGAAACGTATGTGGTACATATATGCATGAGTTGACTTTTGTTATGTGTAGTGCTTTCTCTCGGGGGGGGGGGGGAGAGATGCAGTAGAATTTGTCTCCTTAAACTTTTTTTTTTAACTTAATGGCAGAAAATATAAATTTTAAAATGCAGAAATTTCTATTAAATACTTTTGAAAATGAAAAGGTAAGTCAAAATGCAACCACTAGTGTATTTAAAACAGCATACAAAATGACTAAAACAAATTATTTTAGGATTTAGGTGGAAATAGATGTGCAAGAACTGAATGAAAGCAATGTGGACCATATTTAACACTAAATAGTGCATGCATTAATATTGTTAACCGTATTGCAGTGGAAATGAAAGGCATTGTCACTAAAAAGGTATTATTGAGTCAAATAATTTATTTGACTCAATAATACCTTTTTAGTGACTTTTATTATTGAGTCAAATAATAAAAATCACCCTCCTTTTCAATAAGCAGAGCCAGCATTAGACTTTTTGTTACCTGACACAAACTGTGTAACATCAAAACTCTGCCGACCCTAAATTCTGCTGTTCAGTTGCTCTGACTTTGCTGCTATCCCTGCAATAAGTCACTTGTTCTCACTCATTATTTATGAAAGAATTATGTTTTCATACATGTGTGAACCTACCAACCTGTTCTTGGATATACCCAGATGTCTTTACTGAAGGAATATTCAAGCTCAGATGACCTGTTTTAGGGAACTTGTTTTCATGGTGAATTTTTGACAGAAATTCTTTTGACAGTTACAACTGATGGTCTGCAATACTGCTTGACTGAAACAAAGGTGCAATAACACTAATTAAGTAACTTAATTAACTGTTAGTTTCCTAAAGTTTTACTTGTTTAACACTTTGCTAAACACAGAGTGAAACTTTTCATGTCACATTAAAAAAAAAAAAAAAAAAAAAATTTCTTGTGGGAAGTCTCTGTTTTTTGAAGTTCTGCTACAAGCAAACCAGTTCAGATTGTTCATTGATAAAGTGAAAATATTATTTCACCTTCTCCTAAAAATACAAGGGAATTAAAATACCATGCCAAACAGCTTGGCAGTGAAATTTTAAGAAATAGGAAGTTTTTTAAATGCTAGACGAGTTGCTTCCATTTCTAGTTGTGTTTCTGCTGTTTCGCAAAATTTTGAGGCTTTATTTGCCTATTTCAAAAATGCTAAAGCAGATGGGAAGAAACAAAAATCTAGGAGAAACTTATATGAAGGACTACTGTGAAAATCATTAATATTGGTTTCATTTGCACTGATATGTGATATTCTTTAAGAATTAGCAGAACTTAGCATTGACTTGCAAACACATAATTTATCAGTTAACTTAGTTCATTAAAAAAAACTGATCAAATCAAATTATTTGATAAAAGGAAGGCAAATACTGAACTTCATTATCTAGAAGCTTTCATTATCTAGAAGAGCAGAAAAATATTTGAAATTTAAAGAAATTTCACTAGAAAATGGGACAAGACATTGATAGGAAAACCATATCGATCCTGTGAATGTCTTAAAGCCTGAATGGAGAGCCAACTTTTAGCAAGAGAAGATGCTGAAAGTCTACAATGGACCAGGGTGCTGGATTGTAAAATTTGCTTTGATAATCTTCTTTTAAGTTCTGGTGGAAACAGAAGTACTGAATTTGCATAAAAAACTTCCCAACAGACAAATCCAAAAGGAAGATTCAATTGTATCTTATGTCTTTTTAAATGCAATTAAGAATGTTTCAGTATCAGCAAATGTTGATGTACACGGCTTTTCACAGAGGAATTTAACTTTTTGATAGTTAGAGCAGATTTTCTCTAAATAGTCTCAGCCAGTTGGTGATATTGACTGCTGTACCAATGGGTATAGTGTCTGTGTGACAGGTAGGCACTCAAAATATGTGGCAAATCAAAAGTCTTCTAAAAAAATTAGGGTGGAAAATCCTTGGACTGCCACCTGGCGTGTTTTTAAAAATTGTGGCAGAAGCTTAACAGTTAGCTAGGTTCATCGAAACCTCAGTCACCTGTGGTACTACAGAGGTGCTGGTCTAGTCTATTTTTTATTGGAAATTGCTCCGTTTATCGAATCTATAATATTTGTTAATAAAAGAAAAACTAATTAACCACTTAAGGCTGCTATCACACATCGGTTTGTTTCGGAAGAACAACTGTTTGGAACAATTTTTCTGCTTTGTCACAACAGCCAATCACCACAGCTCGCTTTGGGGTTACACAGGAGAAACTGGTTCTCCATTACAAACAAGCTCACAGCATTCGACGCTGATAGCTGATTGGTTGAAAACGAACAACTTGCAACTTTTTTCGAAAGGAAGGAAAAAGAAAAAGTCACACATTTTCCTTTCAATAGTAAACTAGGCAGAAAAATTGTCCGAAACAGTTGTTCGTGTGAAACAAACGCCGTGTGATATCGGCCTAACAGTTTCTTTTTTCCGTCATATTATGACAAAAAATAAGCATATTTTTGATAAACATTTTTATGAAGAAATTCATTATATAAACCCAAATCAGCAGTCAGAACTATTACAAGTGTTGAATTTATTGATTTATGCTAATTTTTATTTTCATCGTAAAAAGCACATTTTTCCTTAAAGTTGGCGTTTTTCGAACAAGTAAGAAAACTGGAAAGAACACTTTACAAAAATAGATGCCATAATTTAAAATGTTTTATTGTTATTACATATCTGTTCGATTCCAAAGAAGAATTATTAATATCAAGAAAGAAGGATTATTAATATCAAGTTCACAAAAGTTTCGAATTTGCGTTAGATTATCTATACTCTCCGTTTCTTCATCACTAATGAAGTCAGACAACAAACTGTCATTACTTCCAGAATCATTTAGTGAAATTTCAGAGTTATCTTCAGTTATAAGCTGCTCATTATCATTCATTTCTTCTTTTATTTTAGTTCCAAATTTAAAAGAAATAGTATTCGCAGTAGCCGGAACACCGAGCTAGTGAAAAGACATTTTGTGCCTTTACTTGTGTAAAAGAATTCAGTAAAACCTAACCTTGAAACCAGTTGTTTTGCAAATCTAACTTTACTGGATTACTAGCGCCATCTGTTACAAACATTACACACTAAACAAGCAAAAAATTCGGGCAAATCAGTGTATTAGACTAGAAAAAAGCTCAGGAAAATAAAAAAAATGCCATTTCCAAATATCCAAACGGCGTTCAGGCAAAACTGTGAAGTGGTTAAATATAGAACTTTCATTTACACTGAATTTTTTTAACTGTGTTGTATACTACTTAAAATTAAAACAGTCTAAAATAGTTTATATAAATTTATTTAACATATTTGATTATATTAAAATCTGTGGAGAAATGAGCACCTTTTTAACAATTACTTTTAGGTACTATATTTGCATATGGGCAGACTGGAACAGGAAAAACTTTTACAATGGAAGGCAATCGAGAAATTCCTGAACAGAAAGGAATTATTCCAAACTCATTTGCACACATTTTTGGACATATAGCAAAAGCTGAAGGAGATAAAAGGTTGCATATTTTATTTCTTATATTTGTTACAAATAAAAAATTTTTGTGACAGTTTTTGTGAGAAGAACAAGCTTATTTTTTTTGACATTATAGAGCTTTTTCTTTGATGAAAAATGTTGCAGGAATTCTTTTAAATCTGTTCTGGTTTTACTAGCATATTATTCCTTACTATAAAAACATAAACTTTTTGTTACATGTTGGGTGTACATTTTCAGCTTAAGAAAAATAATTTCCCAGCTGTAAAATGGATTTAATTGGGTATACTCAAACTCAAAAACCCAGTAATGATTTTTATTTTTTAAATTTCAAAATTAATCATATGATAATTTTTGTTATTATTTCATGTGAGTGTACATCAAATCCAGCAGTCTATGATGTATTCATTCCTGTATTTAGAAACACACTAAAATAATTAGACATGAGATGTGTTAACATTACTTTTGGTGGTATTTTCTGTGGCTATGAGATATTATATAATGAATCCATCATTTTAATATAATGGATGCAGAAATACCACTTATGTAAATCAGATTATTCTTTTATAGTTATATAAAAATACAATTTTTCTCCCTTTAATCTGATTGCTCAAGTTATTTCGAGATCAGAAAACCATCATGCAGTGATTTGTATTCCTCTTCCTGATTTGCCCAACTTAACTTTGGGTGAGAAAACCATTTTGCAGTTATTTGCCTGAGTATATTGTGTCATCAAATGCTTAACATACAATTAGTCCAAGCCCAAGAAATAAATACCTGCAGTTTTTATTGCAAAGCATGTTTTTCTTCCCTTCATCAAAGCGACTGCTAGCAGTAAGCGCTAGAAAAGAAGTTTTCCTTCAGAGAAGAGAAGAAAAGTTTCCCTTCGGAGAGTTGTGTTCAAGAACAAAACTACCCCTTTCTTCTTCACAGAATAATGGCACATGTTTATAGACTAAAAAAGGACTATTTCTGTTTCCTTTCATTTGTACCAGCCCCAGTGGCAAATGCTTTACAAATTACAGTACAAAGTCTTTAATCCGGACTCGTCGAGACTTCGGCGATTCTGGATTAGGATTTTTGTTGGATTATAGATCATCAATTTAAATCTGGTTAGATGTTATGCAGAAATTATATAATTAAAAATATGAAACCATAATTTATGAAATAAAGAGCAATTATGATCTAAAGGGTATCAAAATTAAAAAAAAAAAAAAAAAAAAAAAAAAAAAACCTTAATATTTATTTGTTTACTTTATTAAACATTTCTTTCAATGTGCGCATGTGTAAAGCATACATTACGCTTAGTCGAAATTAGAAAATTGCAACCAGAAAACTATTTGATGTGTATTCATGATACTTATAAGGACGAGGAATTTGATTTAAATCATATCAATGATGGAGTACATCGAGGTGAAATACTACATTTAGTAAGGAATCATAAGTCAAACAAAATAAAAACATCTGTCCTGAAGATGAGGATAGTGCTGACAGATCAACTTCTAGTTCATTGCGCACCACGACTCCCCCCCCCCCGCAGAGCAGCGTGAAATTGATAAACGGATTTCGTAATGGCTAGAGAAACAAAGGATATGCCTTTATCCATTTTTTGCAGCAATTCCACTTTTTGTTTGATGGACATCGAAACATGCTTTCGCTTTTTAAATCCTTTGGCAACTCCATAGATTATTCCGGATTATGAACATCCGGATTAAAGACTTTGTACTGTACTTGGGTTTCGATATGGCAGGGTGTGTGGGTTAGTAGCCTTTCTAACTCACAGAAAAGAGGAATGCACTGTCAGGCAGGGAAACTAACTACATTTGAATCTGAAAGGAAAAATTTTCAAACTTGTTTTCTTGTAACATGTTACCGCTGCAGAACGAAATTAATTTTATTACAATTTAAGGGGTTAAATCAAAAAACATATTTCAATTCTAGAAGATTTGATCTTTATTTTTTTTTATTATTATTATTATCAATGAATCCAGTATCAAAATTATACTTTTTAGGATCATAACTGTAACATACAGTATGTTTTTCCCCCTCATAGGCCCCCACCAGTCTGTCATACTTTTTGAATGGCAGTGAGATCAGTTTTATACAAATCCAATTCATCAATAAGTATTTGAAAAGCTCCACTCCTGTATAAGGACATATCATTTCAACATCCAACTTTCATATGCTTGACTATCATATCCTTTATGTTCCAAATTGTTTCTGAGAGAACAACCAGTTTCATTTTTGCTTTTTTGCTGTGAGATAATGAAAATTTTTATGTGATATATTAGTCAGTTCTAAGCCCAACCATTAACATGAAGGACTAGACATTCTCCATATTTATAAAATACCTGAATACTGGGGATTATGCATTAATAATGATTTTCTCTCCTTTAAGAAAACACCAGAAAGGATTTAAAAATTTCATGTGCAGTTAAGAAAACAGGTAATTTCTGACAGCATCTTAAAAAAAAAATGAAAATAAAGGCAGAAATTAAACAAGTCATGAAAAGATAGGAAATAAACAAAAAAAAAGCTAAGATGAAAGTAGAAAGTGAAAATAAACTCAAAACCTGCAAAGAAAGACTTCAAAAGCCAAGGTAATCAGAAAAAACAAATGAAAGTAGAATTGTCTGTAAAAAAGGAACAATAAGAGGTTTTAAAAATGCAGGTGAAGAGAGATTAATTAGCAGAATCTAATGTAAAATGGGGAAAAGAGAGTATAAAAATAAGGCAAAATTTAAACTTACAAAACCTCAAAAATACGAAATGAACCAGCAGAAGTGAATATCTGTGAGGATTAATAAACAAGAACTAACAAAAATCACAAAACACTATAGCAAAAGAAAAATGCAAAAGGAAGGAATGAATCATTGAAAACTACAATATTTCTAGAAATAAAGAATTTTAAGTCACAATGAAAATAGTGATAAACTATGAAATTGGAATAGATGAAAATTTTTAAGAGTGCATTCAATTATAGTAAAAATAACTTAAAGAGAAGCAGACCAATATCAAATATAAATAAAAATCAGTCTCAGATTAGCGACGGTTTTATAGAAAAATTCTGTTGATTTCAAGAAAGGTTAGCCATTCTTCTTGAAGCAGCAAAAATGTTCCACACTGTTTTGTAAAACTCTAGCAAACAATAAAAACAACTCATTTCCATACCCATATTTATTAACAAATAACTATAGATGAGGAACCATTTAAATCTAATAAGAATTTCATTTAATGTTAAAAAAATCAAACGTGATGCTATTATGCATAGTCAGTCACTCAATTCACCATCTACTCCCATGTTATTTGAAGAAGAAATACACTAGAAACATGAAGTCACACATACCTTGGCATCAAACTCAATAACAAACTTACTTTTAGAACTCATTTTGCCAATCTCAAAAATAAATTTAATATTTACATAGCTAATTTAAGACCTTCTTGTAAGGAAATGCAAAATTTGATTTAGTGAGAAGGGAAAATAGGTAATTTTCTATTTAAGGCCATAGCACTTGGCATCAGGTTTCTTAGCTCTCTTCTCGGCAATAATAATCATCCTTAAAACTATCTGCTTTCACAACAACATTTCATCTAATATTCTTCTTTTTTTTACTGCTGTGGAGTTCAGAACCTAAGAGTTACCAAGAGATGGACAAGTGGCTCTCATGTTTCTTTAGCAAAGAGCTATTAACAAGGATTTTGTTTTATTAACTACTTAGTGGAATTGGAATCTGATTAAAAACTGAAATGGTTGTGTAACCTTTGTCCATGCTAGGAAGCAAAAAATGTCCACATACAAATACGGTTTTCTGGATCATAACTTCCTTATGTTATTACCATTTTATTCATTTATTTATTCATGATAAGAGGAAGTTTTTCTTCCAGTGAATTATAGTGCAATGGTTGACTGGAATAATTAATTACATGAAAGAGGCACATGCCAATTCCTCATTATCTCAGCCTAACATTAAAATTGCTGAAAACGAGAAAACTGGTGGAATCTTATTCACAAAAAGAAAAATTAATGTGGGTCATGATGAATTTTTGGAGGATCTTGGCTTAAAATTAGAGAATGTTTCCTTTGCTGTTTTCAACCATTTTGTTTCATCTAATATCAAACCAAAAGAATGAAGAAAGAAATAAGCCAATGTAGTGCCAAAAATGTATGGTATGACTTTAATGTAAAAATATTAAAATAAAGATAATGAGTTGATTTTTTTTTTTTTTTTTTTTTTTTTTTTTTTTTTTTTTTGTATCCTGGTCCTTGAAACCCCTTAAATTAAGGTCCTGTAAAACCTTGGGATAAAAAAGAAATTTTGCTTGGTTGTTTATTTCTAAAGTCATGTGTTCTTGTAATCATTAGTTCTGAATTTGTTACTTTTTTATTTGCATCCACACGAAAGCTGCCATCTCATTGTTAACTTGATGTCAGTTTATAATTTTTTTCATGAATGATGATAAAAAAATTAATTTTCTAAGCAGCAAGAAATTTTATGATAAGAAACAAAAAATCTATATGGCCAATATTTACATTTTTATATCAATTGAATACTCTTTAGTGAAATTATAGTTAAATATAAAGCACATAAATCCACATGGACTCAAACATATGTGCATGTGTGTGTGTTGCCTATTGCTGCAGGTGTACTTAAAAATACAATGATACTTTTTTAAAAAAAAGTTTTACCACATGTTGAAACTGTGGATGTAGTTATTACATTTTTTATTCTTATTTCTGTTTTAGCTGTTTAGTTCAATTAAAAATATTTAAAATTACGTTTTTATAGGTTTCTTGTCCGTGCTACATATTTAGAGATATATAATGAAGAAGTTAGAGATCTTCTTGGAAAAGATCAAAGTATACGCTTAGAGGTATTTCAAATACATAATTTATATTTTAGGATTTATTAATTTAGCTGAATAATTTTATTATGGGCATCTATAAGTTCTCATATTTGCTAACCAATATTCTTTACATATGTAACAATTCTGTCCAGAATTTAATGCATTTCTATTTCAATATGTTCTAACAGTAGTTTTTAAAAGCACAGTAGTACCTTCCAATAAGGGACACCCACTGGACCAAACATTTTTGTCCCTTAAATAGAGGTGTCCCTTCTTCAGAGAGTACATACCTCCCCCCCCCCAAAAAAAAGTAATTTAATTAAAAATTCAGGTTGTATCAAGTTTTAAATAAATTATATATAAGAGACCAAGTGACAGGTATTTATTTGAATTTGAAGTTAATAAAAAAGGAAAATTCTTAATTAAAAAAGTTAAATTGCTGCAAAAATATATGTAATGAACAGTAGAGTATTGTGCTTACAGAAATTGATAGAAAGTGACTCATTACATGAGTTTGTTTGAATGTCTGTGCTTTACAAGCATTTGTTTCTGTATGGATATTAAAGTCACTGATGATCTCAAGTCCTTCACTGTTACCAACAGTTACCATGAATTTTTTTAATTGGGAGATTATTTTAAGGCATCTGTATAGTTTTTGAGTGACGCTTTAAGTCTGGCTGTTCTTCATCTTCCTAATTTCTTTCCAAGTTACTTTTGTTAAAGTTCACATTATCAACTGCAGTTGATTTTATGTTGTTATTCATGTCTTCAGTCCAGGCATTTTCATTGGTTTCTAAATCCTCTTGCATTTGAGCACAGCCACTGATTTTGACAGGTTCAAACAATTAATTTTCTTGAGTAGTATTTTCACCGAGAGCACTTGAAACTTGAATTTCAAAGCCCTGCATTCTTAAAACAGTACTGAATGCAACTTTATGATACAGATTTAGTAGCCTTTGTTATCCACAGAATGGCATTCAATACATTTACATGTTTTGCAAGCTTATAAAGTCTATGTCTCTTAAGAAGCATACACTATAGACTTTAAAAAGGACTATTAAAGCTATATTATTATTATTTTTATCATTGTTATTGCTTCTAACTGTACCTATATATTTTTCAAACTCTTGTCTCAAGTAAATTGTATAATAATTTTAAATATATATTTCACAATTTGTTGCTTACATTTAAATATTATTTTTATTGCTCATCTTTTATAGTAGTATTGCTTAGCAATAACTGGGAAGAATGGAGAATAATTATTGTCATTAATGAAAATTTATAGATATTTTCTAGCTTTCTTTGTAGAGTTTTCCAGATATTTTTCTTAGGGTTGATGAAGAGGAGCAATATACTCTATAGTATTTTTTATCGCGTAATGAAAGAATATTCATACCAGATTTGATACAACTGGGTTGAATAGCATAGAATTACTTAACATATGTGCATATATATTTTGACTTTCATATGCATAAAAATGTAATTATCATAACATTAAAACAATTCTGAGAGAAATAACAAAGTTAATATCAGTTAACAAAAATAGATTATCTTTAGCATTTGAGGAAAGTAATAACTGGAAAATAGTTTTTTATTTCACTGTAACTTTCTTGTCCATTGTCGTGCATGAAATGTTTGTTATTGTCTATATATTTATGATTACTTATATTTATCTTATTCATTTTTAAACAGCATTCAGTTAATTGTAACCAAAAATGAGGTATAAATTTCACTCAGGAAACTTTTCATTCTGATTTCATTGAGAGAAGTGAGGAAAAAAGAAATAAAATACAGAAATATTTTATCCCTCCTCTGAACATTTTCTCACACTGTCAGAATTTTTTTTTTTAAATATATTTGATACTTTACGATGATTTGCTGTATTTGCTTATATTTTAAAACATCAGACTATTATAAAAATATTGAGGCATATTATATTTTAATATTATTTTTCATTAGGTGAAAGAGCGCCCAGACATTGGAGTTTATGTTAAAAATCTGACAGGTGTGGTTGTAAAAAATGCTGATGACTTGGATCGTATCATGACACTTGGAAGCAAAAATAGTAAGTATTTAATGTGAATAACATGAAGATATGTATAAAAGTGTAAAATAACATATTTATTAAGCATATTCATTGAACACTGTTCAAAATGACTATTTTGAGATTGTCTGAAAGATTATTCATTATATGAAGTGGAAGGTGACAATTAAAATTTAACGCAAAACACTGCAGTTAAATTTTGATAAATCAATGTTATATAATCAATTTTAGCAAATCTGCTTTTTTTAACAGGTTTAAATCTAAATATTAGTTTTTCATTATTGAAGAGAGGAGTTTAAAGTATATGAAAGGACATATGATAATTCAAAAGAAATAGCAATTAATGCTACTTTATAATATTTATCTTCTTTTGGCTCAAAATTTTTCTGTAATAATTTTTCATGAATATGTTTTAAGTTAAAAATGGGTACTTTCTGATTGTCTTCACACCCACTGAATAACCACAGCAAAGTATTCATGAGGCAAAGCACCATGTCGCAAGAAAATATTTAACTCCAGGTATGCACGCAGCACATGTCTGTTTTGGTCGATGCACAATGCAGAAGTTATATGGAGCTGAGTTTGTGCAATTCTACGTTTTTTTTTTTTTTTTTTTTTTTTTTTTTTTTGAATGTGAAAGGAGATCACTGTTTAACATTGGGAGAACAATAGTGCAAAAAGAAGGATTTCTTGGAAAAGATAAGAATTTTATTACCAATATTTCTTTATATTATTTACCAATATTAAATATATTTATTATATGATAATATGATATGGAATTCTTAATGGACAGCTATTTTGAAAGTGGCTGTTGCCTCTCGCTTATTAGCTTGGTAAAAAATAAGGTGTCAACGAGTTCGCAAATGCTTTCCAAAGTCGGCAACGAGTTTGCAATGTTTCATTGGAGGTGCGGATAATCAGAAATTACCTAGAAAAGGTTATACATACAATTATACAATACAATAGAATTATATATCACATTATACATATGGAAAATTCTGAGTAGTAAGTCTTTTGGTTAAGAAGTTACTTTGCATTTAACATATTATTGACAGATATTTTACAGAGGTTACAGATTGACAGTAAAATAAGTATTTTTTTCATTTGCATGAACAAATTGAAATACTAAAAAAATGTTACATTGCACTAGTTCGTTTTAAATAGTTCATTTTTCTCCCTAAGTGAGTACCTAAAATAACCATTCCTGAAATGTTACCATGCACGAATTATATTTGACATTAAAAAGAGAGAAATTGCAAATGAAAACTAAATAATGTCTTATTATTGCATAAAAGTAAGAATTTATTTTATGTATGTAGAAGTTTAATTTATAAAAGTAATTATGTTATAACCTATATTTAGTTAGAGTAGATGCTTTAATTATTATTGCTTACAATCTAAAATTCTGTATAGTATGTAAATTAATAAATATCTAAATTAAGATCAAAATCTATATTTAAAAAAGAAGCTAAGGAAGAAGTTTTAATAATCTTGCATTGAAATTGTTAAAAAATAATTTACCAATGACTGTAGATATCAATATTAGCTAGTGATATGAAAATAGAGATAGGAGTTAAAAGACTAAAGATATAAGAAATGAAAAGACAGACAGAGGTAGAGAAGAACTCCCATCTATCCCACCCTCAGAGAATACATTAGTGGCCGAGCAGTAACATTGCTGAACACTGGTAGCTCAAATTGGCTTCGAGTCCAACAAATGTCATAACTGCATGCATGTTTTCATGATTTTTTCCAATGTATAATGGGGTTAAAAGCCAGTTTTCCTTAGAAGGTCCTCCACAAAGGCATCCCTCCTCTTGGGCATATAATCCTGGCATGCTTTGCTGTAGTTAAATAAACTAAACCTCCCTTCATTTGACACATGATGCTGAGATTAAGAGGACAGTGGGGGGAAACTGGTGAAATGACACTCATCCTCAAGTTACAAAGGAGAAGGAAAATCGGGGAAAACATAATTTTGGATGAAAGGACTGTATAACCAAATTTCTTTCCTTATTCTACTCTGCTACTATTTCTAGTATTCTTTGTATTTCTATTAATGGTGCTTTAACCATTGTATCATTTTTCATTGGTGTGCTGGAAAAAGAATGGTCTTTTTTTATATCATCCTTTGAAATACTGCATTATACTGTTTATTCAGGACTTAATTTCAACCAAATCATGGCTAATCTATTTATTAGTTTTTCTTATGAAGTTGTAATTCCAGCCACACCTCAAAAATGATGATATCTGGTATTTTATTAATTTATCAAATTTTTGTTTATTTCTTTACACTTTATTTAATTTTAATTATTTATTATTTTAATAATAATTTTATTTATTTATTTATTTGCTTTATTTTTCTTTTCTGATGGCCTTAAGACTCCAGCACTTCTGATTTTAGAAATCAAACCCTTCGTCATTGGGCACAGTACAATCCATAGCCAGCAGGTGTTGAAAGTGGCATGCTGGAATCTCCATTAGTAGGGAGAAAAATCACTTTTATATCACATCTGCTTTTCCTAGAATATTAAATTTTCAATTCCTAGACTTAAAAAAAAAAAAAAAAAAAAAAAAAAAAATTACTGCTGATGGTCTGGATATTAGATTATTCTGGGTATTTGATGTCTGGATTTCAAGTCTTTGTAATGTTAAATAAATAAGTTATACTGCAAAAATTAAAAAAAAAAAATTGTAATTCAGATGAAAAAATAGAGTAGAAAAAGGAAAAATGGTAGAGAAAAATGCTTAGACTCTTGTGTGTAAAATTTAATTTAATGAAATGAAAGAATAAAGGAAATCCATTGTGCATTAGTGGAAACATTTTTTATTTTTGTCTTTTTCTAATTTGTAAGGAGTTTGCAAAACATCTTGGAAAATGATTTTTTCAATTTCTGAGTGAAAATTCGCAGTCGTCTCTTCTAAGCTAATCATCAGTATCTCAGAATTTAGGAAATAAATATTTTGCATTAATTGAATGTAATATTGGCCTGGGTGAGGAAAATTAGTGGCCTGGTCATAATAATCATCTGATATTGTTTCAATGCATTGTTTTTAAGGAATTATCTGAGAAGTTAAATTTATTGGGTTCTGGTCACTAGTCCAAATAATCTGTTAATAATATTTCATGCTGTATGCCACAATCCGTAGTCACCACAATTAGCTGTAACAATCTTTGAGGCAAGCATAGTTTTAAGAGTAGCACTGTATTGTGATGTGATCATGATGGCTGGCATTTTAAACCATTTCTAATACAACTTAGACTGTTTGCAGCATTGATATTTTTAGATTGCTTCCCACTATCATTTACATATTATTTCTGTTTTATGTTATTTGTTAAAAATCAGTATGATAATAATTTGTAATTTGCTTTTGCGTTTTCTCAAATCTGTTTTGTAATTTCTCAGTATTTATTTTATAATTTACTTGTGGAAATTTCTACATAATTACTATTATTTTAAAGTTTAGAATTTTAAATTAGAATACCCAAAATGAATGTATTTAGGAAGAATTATATTTTCAAACATTGAAATTTCTCGTGTACTTGCACATAAGAAATGTTTCTATAATCACACCATTATCATCATGAAGATCAGTTAAATCAAGAATTGTAAAATTTTAGTGATACTGATAATTTGTTCTTCTTTTGAAACCATTTAAAATTTTAAGCTTCTGATAATTTATTTATTTAATATTCTTTCAATGTCAAAGTCTTTCAATGTTTCATATTCTTTAACAGGAAAAACAATACATCATTGTAATCATTGTTTTTAACTATGTAGTCTTTGATAAAATAACACTGAAAGCATGTGACTTTTATAATGCCATTCTAAATTGATAATTTAAAAAAACATTGTGCTTTTATTTATATTAAATTATAAAATTTGTTATCTAAAATTGATATTGTTTAAAAACTGTTCTGTTTTTATTTATTATTTAAACATGCCCTTTTTTGTCCCATTAAAAAATTAAAATATTTTAAATGTCTAAAAACTGAGTTAAAGAATTGTTTCTATAATCACACCATTGTCATCATGAAGATCAAAAATTGTAAATTTGTAGTTATACTGGTAATTTGTTCTTCTTTTGAACCATTTAAAATTATAAGCTTCTGATAATTTTTTATTTAATATTCTTTTTCAATGTTTTAATATAAGTATATTTTTCATCTTCTGTAACAGGAAAAAAAATATCATTGTTTTTAACTATGTAACTTTGATAAAATAAACCATGATAAATGAAAAACTAAAATTTCCTTATTTTTGTTAAATTTATATTTAGCCTTAAGCAAAGGAAAATACATTTATGCAAATTTTGTAGCTATCTAAACGGGCTGTGGTCTCAAGTTAGTTTGGGTAATTGAGTTCTACTGTATTGCAGAAAACCTAATTACAAAATTAATATTTTATCTTTTATAAGACAATGCAGTTAATATCTTTATATATGCACGCAATAAAAAATTTTTAAGTTTTATTTATTTATTTTTGAATTATAGGAGTTGTTGGAGCAACTAACATGAATTTGCACAGCTCTAGGTCACATGCAATATTTAGTATTACCGTTGAAAGTTGTGAAGAAGGATTTGATGGAAAGGAGCACATTCGAGCTGGAAAACTGCACTTGGTGGATCTAGCAGTGCGTATGTTTTAATGACTAAAGTACTGATTCATATTATTTATTCAAAAGGTTTTGTAACACTTCTAGCTGTTTTTACAATGATAGATATTTGATGCAAAAGAGGTAATCCTAGAAAATAAAACAAAGATAGATGCTATATAATACTAAATCATGAACTGTTTAGTGTATGAAATTATATTTAAGTAAAATAATTCTAGAAACTTATCAAAGCATTTTATTAAGGAAATCCAAGTTATAAAGATGGAACTAGCTATTATATTTTTAGATGCTTTCAAAAACATATTGCAAACTAATAAACGTTACTGCAAATTGTTAATGTCTGAAATTTTACAAATTTGAGAATGGACTTACTTATGACCTTAAAGCTTAACAGTCACACCTTGTATAATAGCATAATCACATTTCCGTTGTAGCTATTATTTTATTATTTATAAATGAATAAAATATTATGAACTTCCATTATCAAATAAATGAATTACAGCCAGTTAATATAGTTAATATTTGAGACAGTAATATAACTCATTAATAGAAAAGTGTCCGACAAATAATAAACATTTATTCTGCTTTAGAATTGCATATTGCTGCTGGGATTAAAACAATATTATTTTAGAGAATGGAAACTCTCACCTATCCATTTTATCTGAATTTTATTTACTGAAATTGATGCTATGTGACTTATTTGCTAATTTTGAGGAAGTTTTTCATTAAGCACTTAAGTCAGCTTCTAGTTTCACCAATGCTATCCATTTCTGAAGAAAAACCAAGTTCAGTAGAATCTATTTAGAAGAAACTGTTAAATACCGACTGATTGACAATACTGAGATTGTAATTGATTTTTGGTGATGCTGGTGTTAATAAATCCCTTTTTGTTGAGGGTAAAATGATATTAGACAAGGGTGTGATATCATTCAGGTTAAATAAATATATTTCAATGTTTAAGGTACTGATGCATAGATTTCTTAGTATATCTGACAGTTTGGTGTGTCGGGGTATCTGTTAACTTGATTAGAATTAGTAAGCGTGAGAGGATAGCTAACACTGCTAGGTTTCGGATGTTCAACTAGGTATGTCACTAGTTATCATTTAGTGAGCTATATGGTATTTTATTCCAGTGTACCAATACACATCTGAATCTAATCAGAATAGTTTTATGATATACCAGTTTTTACAGTGGGAATATTTTATCATAACTAGTCTATTCACTAAGCTTTTGGCCATTAACCCCTTTGTCATGGCATGTTTCTGAACTGAAAACCCTCTGGATACAGATGTGTTTTTATATGCATCGGTCCCAAATGTCACTAGCAGCTAGGTGATGCATTGGTGCATCGCCACTTGCATTGATCTTCCAGAAGGGTATATCGTTATATGCACTTTCAAACCTACATCTTCTTTTAGAATTTTTTTAAATCACTAGATGACACTTCATGTCCACTACAGCTAGCTTATTTATACAGTCTTGACCTTATGTCTGTGAAGAACTTTCTGATTCTGGTGATTCATTTAGTTTTACGAGCAGCAGATATAAAATGAACAAAACCCAGCTAATGCACAGTTGAAGCTTCGCATGGATGCTCCAAATTTGGTTTTTCTTTTTTTCATATTGGGAGATTAGGCATGGAGCTGTGGTTTTTAAGAACTATCATTTGTATTCAGTTTGCTCCTTTAGATAGCAGATGTAAATTTTTTCCCTGCTTAAGAGAATTAAATTAATAGTATGATGTCTAAGAGGAAGAAGTTTTTAACAGAAGAAAAATATAATCGAATTATAAACGAGTCCACAAGTGACTATTTTCATACTGAAGACTAGATTTAAGTGAGGATAGCGATTTTGCCAAAACTTTGTCAGACACTGAATTGAAAGCTTGTTTTGCTTTCACGTCACAATCTAGCACAAGAGTGAATATTCCATCATGAACTCGATCTATTATATAATTGAAGCCTTATGAGTTTAAGGGAATTGCAGAAGTAAATTTGGGGAAAGTGCAGAATCACCTTCTGTTTGGCGCATTTCTCAAAATCACCAACTTGAAAATAACAAGTCAAAGAATTACAAGAATAACAAGTCATCAACCTATTTTTACTTTAAAAAAAAAAAAAAAAAATCAGAGAATTGCACAAACTTAGCATTCCACACTCCCTTGACTTTGTCCATGTACACATCAATATGCACCATATATATGGGTGATTCTGCATCAAATTGAAAATAACAAGAATTGCACAAACTCAGTATCCATGTACACATCGACCTATTTTCACTTTAAAAAAATCAGAGAATTGCACAAACTTGGCATTGTGCATCGATACGTGCCATATTAGTGGGCAATTCTGCACTTTAACCATAAATTTAAAGTTATCTAAATGAAATTGATTTTTTCACCATTTTTTCAATGATAATCTAATGAACCCAATAGTTCAAGAAACTAATAATTTCTATCAACAAAAGATGAGTGAAAATACATCTTTATCCAAAATAAGCATAGTCCTTTAGATCAATCTAAAATGTGGGGATTCTTAGGATTAATTATCCTGCTAGGAATAATTAAAACGTCCGACCTGAAAATGTATTTCATAACTATTGAAATGCTAGCAACTGCACCATCACAAACTATCTCCTTTCTGAATCATTTATGCTAAAATATTTAATCATATATTTTACTATTTTTTACGTGTGTTTAGATATAGATTTAGGTAAGTTTTGTACAACACTTCATCAAGATGAGTCAAATATTTTATTTTACATTTAGATTTTTATTAAAAGTTTTTCAGAATCTCTTGATATGCTGTATTTATTATTATATTACTGTTAGATACCAGTACAAAAAAAATCAGAGCAATTCATTAAAAGATACTTTTAATGATTTTTTTTTTTTTTTTAAAGTTAGGTTTAGCGACATGAAATAAACCATCCTGCGAGATCATAGTGTTGTAACAACACACCATCTCCAAGGTGAGTTGTGCTAAATGGCATGTCATTGCGTACTGATGTGTATCATCCACCTGTCATGAAGGCGTTATGAATATATATATTGTTATGTGCGCTCAGGTTTGTAATGGATTGAATGGCCACAAAAACGATAATACCTTGATAAATTTTATTTTCACAAAAGAAACACTTTACAGTTCTGAAACTTCTCACAAAAGTACTCATACAGCTGTTCTCAGTATGACAGAGCACAATCAGTAGTTACTACTACAAACTACTAAGAATGTTAAACACAATGCAATGCAAAGCTTATCTAACAGTGAAGCTCCCACTGTGATCTCTTAATACTCCAAAGCCAACTCTGAACTAAAAAAAATTGGGAATTGATACTCTCACCAGTCTTATATAGTTTTCCTTTGTCCACCAAGAAATTTCCAGCACCTTCCATTTCTCAAAATTACTGGAAGGAACATACAGTTACTGTCATATATATAAGGGCTAGATACAGTTACAGTTACATAGGTATTTAAGCCAATTATAGTTATATCGGTTCAGGACCAAAATAATGCCAAACAGCTGTCACATTTGGTGCTTTTCGGTGACAAAAATTATTTGCCAAAACCATCACCAGCTTTGCAATACCTCGCCAGTTAGGTGAGTATAGCCATTTACCATGACTGGCCCCTGCAAACTTATTTTTCCGGGAAAGCTTTGCATTGAAGACATTCATGTTACATTATACAAAATTCATAACAGTATAAAGCCTGATAGGATGACAACTACAAGGCATATGAAATTTTAATTTTTAACATAAATGAGTTTGTTTCTTAATAAAATATATTGTAATGCACTGCAAGAGAATATTAGAAAACATTCTATTGTCTGCTTGCTTGTCACATGTCCAAGTTTACATATATGTATGAAAGGTCCTATAATATCATGATCTTATTTCACTCTTTTTTTTTTTTTTTTTTTTTTTTTTTTTTTTTTTTTTTTTTTTGGTAAAATTTACAGTAATGTATAATTTTGTTATATTAGAAAAATTTTTTAGCTGAGTCATTTCAGAATTTTTCAATTTGCTATGCTAAATGTATGTTAATAATACAGGTGACTATGCCATCATTCATAGTCACCTGTATTATTAACATACATTTATCACTTCAGCAAAAATTGTCATAATACAATACAAATTTCAAATGTCTAAGTCTTTGAGCATTCCTATTTAGCAAAGCATAAGGTCTTCATCTTTCGAATTATCAATCAGCTTGTATATGCTTAACAAACTGCATTACTTGCAAGTTCGTTATAACTGCAGATAACATGTTTTTAATGCCACATATTACATATCTCGGTATAGAATTATTTGATTCTTTTTTTTTTTTTTTTTTTAACATTTCCGCATCCACAAGTGTGAAAATTTTCTGAAAGTAACAGCAAGGGCCTCTATGTGTTGAAATCTGTTTCCTAATAGCACATTTACCAATAATTGAGTTAAATAAAGATGTATTTTGTATGGAAGAAACTTTTTTAAGCTTTTGATAAGAAAGTTTAATTCATGAAATATTATATGATGCAATTTTTAGCAACAGGTTTTGCCCAAAGCATTATTTGTACTTCTATTTTATATTGCATTTTGTCTCTATTCATTCTAGGGATCAGAGCGTCAGAGTAAAACTGGATCATGTGGTCAACGCTTGGTTGAAGCAACAAAAATTAATTTATCTTTGTCTAGTTTAGGGAATGTTATTTCTGCTCTTGTAGATGGAAAAAGCACCCACATCCCATACAGAAATTCTAAACTTACAAGATTGTTACAAGATTCTTTAGGAGGCAATTCAAAGACTCTTATGGTGAGCAATGATTTAAAATTTTTTTGTAATTAATGTATTATTTATTTGATTGATTTCTTAAATAAATAACTGAAAGAAAAGGAAAATTTTATGAATAATATTATAAAATAAAAAAATTTTTAAATAATCATTATGCTTAGAGAAGGGCAAATATCACTAAGGAAAATATTTAAGGAAAATATTTATTTTAAAATAAAGATTTCATTGTCGAAATGCTTACAGTCCATTTTTTAAAAATCTTATCTGTTTTAAAAACATTTTTCTAAAACATTAAAAATGTCAGTTTTGACTGACATAGGAATCTGAAATATACGTAGAATTCTAAAACACATTCATCAAGCGAAAAAGAGTTAAAAATAATCTGTTACTGAATTCAATTTTCTTGGTTTATTCCATAGTAATACTTAAGACATTTTCTTTTCAATAATCACAGTGTTAAAAAATAAACTCTTAAGTATTAAAATAAAATATTTTATTTTTTTTTCAGATCAAATACGACAGTCTATTTTTCTTTTAGTTAATTTTTAGAAATTTCAGTATTTGTTTAGTAGCTGGGCACAGGATGATTTTATAATGCTTGGGAGCAGTGAATGGGATAAATCACTGAATATAGCATTTTTATCATGCAAACAAACTAGTTAATTTTTAGAAATTTCAGTACTTGTTTTGAAGTTGAGCTCAGAATGATTTCATAATGCTTGGGAGCAGTGAATGGGATAAATCACCAACTGTAGCGTCTTTACTGTGCAAACTAGGACACCACAGTTTGTCAGCAACAATTTTTCTCGATCTATGAAACTGCATTCTGAATTGATTTTAAAATATCAAAATCTAAGTGTTTTTAACTCAGTTGTGCAGAAGATTTCTAATAATTTGAGTATATTATGAATCATTCATTTCAGTTATTAAATACCTGAAGATGAAAGGGTTTATTTCTTTCTTGACAGATGCAAAATACCCTTTTCTGCAGAAGAAACTTGTTACTTAATTTAATCGTTTTTTAAAAAAGCTTTTATCCACATCAACAATCAGATTTCCCCTTTTCTTTAATATTTCTCAATGCATTGTCTTTTGACTTTAATTCTATTGATTACTGTCAACTGTAGATAAAAAAAAGCATTTAAAACCAGACAGTTCTGAAATCACTCAAGAAATAGAAAGTTTTGTAAGTCTGAGTAAAATATTTTTATTTTTTAGTGCAATGGATGATTGCATTGATGGCTTTTATTGAACTTTTTCTTATCTAGATGAATACTACTAAATCTTCTGCTCTTAATTAAGCCTTTTTCATATTTCTTAGAAAAGAGAAAATTTTAGGAAACATTTTATTATTTAGGAAAAATTATTATTTTAGTTATGATTAATTAATTTTTCCTTTAATGATAGAAAGTACTTTAACATAAATTTTATTGCTAAGAACATATTGAAATTTCCTAAGATTTATATTCTTATGCCTTTCATTGCACTTCTTCTAATGCTTCTATTACTAGGACCACAGGGCATGGCCTTCTATAGAACCATCCTCTATTGCATTTTCACTTTGGCTAGAGTTTTGGGGTAATTTTAATATAACCTGGCCATCCTCTAACTGATTATCCTATTAAGTTATAGTTCTGAATTTTAAATATTAAACCAGAATTCATTTAGCAAGCATGACCATCAAATTTCTTATGGTTGTTTTTAACATATTTGGTAGTATTGCTTGCTTTGCATAATTTATTTAACTCATTGTTATATCCATGACACCACTAGCCATTAGTGTTTACAGCACTAAAGACTTTTTAAAATTTTTTATCTGCACTTTATGATATGAAGAGAAAGAATCTCAAAGATAGAAAACATTTCAGAGGATCTGAAGAATATTTTTAATTTTATATTATATGTTTAGATTAATTCACCTTTTCATATTATGGTGTAAGAATATTTCACTATTAAATAAATATACCATATAACTTGTGTATAGAAACTGCCTTTTAAGTCAACTTTAAACAGTTTTATGTACTGAATTTAAGGTATTGACTAGACATATGCAGAAGAATGTAAAGGTCTGTTCATACATTTTTTATAAGTAGGTATAAAAATTTCATCTATATCACTTTATCATAATTTATCTGCATTTTCATTTTAGTGTGCTAATATTGGGCCAGCTGAATACAATTATGATGAAAGCTTGAGTACTTTGAGATATGCCAACAGAGCTAAGAACATTAAAAATAAGGCACGCATTAATGAAGATCCTAAAGATACTATGCTTAAAAAGTTTAGAGATGAAATTGAAGAGCTGAAAAAGCAATTAGAAGATGGTATGTGGTTTTATTTTCATATTTTATTATATATATACACACACAATCACACATATAGAATGAAGAATAAATTAAAATTCATTCCACATTCCAACTCAGAATAAAGTATATGCAAAAACCAAAAACCAGAAGTACATTGACAAACTGCACAAAAGGGCAAAACATGCAGAACTAAAAATGAAAAAGAAAATTTGCATATTTTGCTGCATCTTCATCAGGAAGTTGGTGCAAAAGTAAATAAATCACTTGTTTCTGAACCAACAAAGATACAAATTAAAGTTTAACATTTTAAAAACATTATTTTACATTTGTAGCACCACTTGTGGCTGCTCAGGATTAAGATTTGAACCTTTTTTTTTTTTTTTTTTTTTGTGGGGAAGGGGCTTTATAATTATTCATTTATATACATGTAAGACATAAGAAAATACGATAGCTGCCTTAAAAATAATTGCCAACCTCAAAATTAACAATTCTAGATTTGGTGATTTGATCTAAATCTTCTCCCAAATTCGAGAATCTTCTATGTTATGAACATAGAAGTTATGTAACATAGTTACATCTATGTTATGTAACAACTTCAAATTAACCATTCACATATTAGCTCTACTTATACCTCAGACTTGGTATAAATACTCTTGGCACAAAAAACTACTATTAGCTTCCCAGAGCTAATACATCTCCATTGCTTTGCTTCTTAACTGACTATGTCGTTTCCTTTTAAAAAGCCAGTGTACATAGAAATTTCCAATGAAATCAAATCATATGTTAAGAACCAATCAAATGTTAGTAGCTGCTAGTAGAAGCTGACATCATGTTTACACTTGAAACAATTCATTATTTTGCTTATACACTGCAATTAAAAGTAGGAATTTTTGTAAAAATTTTTAATATTTAATCAAGAAGCAATGACATCAAATAAAAGAGTAGATTGGACACCTAGAAAGAGATGTAATATTATTGTGTTACGAGAAAGTGGTCTTTCCTATGCTGAAATTGCAAGACAGGTGGGTGGTTCAGTGACTACATCTGGAGTCCGAAAGTTTTGTTTACGATATCAGGAGACAAATTCAATAAAAAACAAAGAAGGGAAAGGCCGAAAAAGGTGCACCACATCTATTGATGACAGAAGAATAAAAAGGCTGTGTCTCCAAGATAGAAAAATGTCGTCAGCAACCATCAGAAGTGATCTGAATGATACTGGTGTTTCTGTCAGTTCAAGAACAATCAGGAGAAGATTAACAGATGTTGGACTGAGAGGTAGAATTCCACGAAAAAAGCCTTATCTTAATTTTTAGCAATGAAAAAAAAAAAAAAAAGACTACAGTGGGCAAAGGAACACATTAATTGGACAGATGATCAGTGGTCACAAGTTATATGGAGTGATGAAACTAAGGTATCGTTATTCGGTAGTGATGGGCGAAAATATGTAAGACATAGAATAGGAGAAGAGCTACATCCTGACTGCATTCAAGCAACTGTGAAGAACCCAGTTAGTGTTATGATTTGGTCATGCATGTCAGCACATGGTATTGGTCGCCTTCATGTCATCGATGGGACACTGAATGCCAGAAAATACATTGACACTATTCTAGAACCAAAACTTCTATCTTCCATCAGAGATCTCTTTCCCAACAATGCTTTGTTTATTTTTCAGCAGGATTCTGCTCTTTGCCACACGGCCAAAATATCAAAAGAGTGGTTTCGTACAAAGAGCATTAAATTGTTGTCATGGCCAGGAAACAGTCCTGACCTCAATCCTATCGAAAATTTGTGGCACCGTTTGAAAACTCTTGTCCGAATGAGGTTCCAATCAAATAAAAGGGAACTAATTGAGGCTATAATTGTTTCCTGGCATCATGCAATAACGAAAGAAGAACTTAAAACTCTTGTCAGCTCAATGAAACGTCGATGTGAAGCTGTAATCAAAAATAAAGGGTACCCTACTAAGTACTGATAACTCACTGCAATCAGCACTATCTAATGTGCAATCATTAATATCTAATTTAACATTTTTTTATTGCAAATAATTGAATTTTGTGTTTTGTATTGAATTCAGTAATAAATTCTCTTTAAAATGATATATACAAGTTTGCATTTTGTAAAACGTAACGTTCTCTATAAGCATACAAAGTTCAAAAACATAAAAATTTCCAAAAGTGTCCACAATGTTGTCCACCACTGTATATATGAGGCTCGAAATAATTTCAAAAATTCAGTAGCCAAAAAATGTCCAAGTCCTACTATCCAGTGTCTGCCCAACCAATTGTCTCCTGGCTTTTCACAGTCTAAAGTTTTGTGGTAACCTAAATGGTGAAGAGGAGTTAACAAGTATAACTGAAAGAAGCAATGCTTTTAGAGCCTTATGTCTTATATACCTAACATGTATTGTTATTTCTTCCTCTGTAGATTTATCAGTTCAGGAATCCAAAAAAATCTTAACACAGGTACAATACAAAATTTTTGAAATAACCTCCTTGCAAATAACAGCTGCAATTTAAAAAATAAACTCTCTGCATTGTTTTCAGTTTGATAGTCACTGAGAGCAACACTTACTTCAAATTTATTAAGCAGATTAACCAAATCTTTAAAATCAGAAAATAGCTTATTGTGCTTTACAATATGATAAGCTATGCTAAATAGTTTTTCTAAATGCTGAAATAGTCTTTCATCTATTTTTCTTTTTTCTACAGCTATATCTTTCAACAAGCAATGTTTGTGCATTTGTGATCGATTGCATAACTCAAAAGTTTCTAATTTGAATGACCCATTAAAACCTTGCATAACCCGCAGGTATTTATCTGCTATTTCTGGATACTTTGTGCACACTCTTCATCAAGCGATACCATTTTCATATAACTACAAAAATTCAATGTATCACTGCTTTCTGAATTTCCTTTTGCTTTCACTCTTTTTAGCACCATCACAATCAATAATGGTATCGCTTCTGCCCAGACAGGCATGTGATTAAGTGGTGCTGCGATACTAAAGGACCTGGGTTCAAATATTAGAGAAGGCATGAATGTTTATAAATGTAGAGTGTCTGTACGGCATGGGGCCACTCAAACTATATAACAAGCCAAAAGTCCTCTTGAAAAATTGATGGTAAGAGAAGAGGGGTGGGAGAACCTCAGACACATCTCCTAGGGTTCTCTTCAGAATTGGGGTAGAACTGAGCAAAGTCAGACTGTCACCTGTATGGTGCTCAAAGCTGTTGCTAATGACAGACACTCTTGTACTCCTTGCCATGATAAAATTTGTGGGCTTGTTCTGATTAGGTCAGATAAGTGAGAGTAGTCACAACAACAGCACTGGAATCACTTCCTTTATGTTCACTTTGCTCACTTATCATAGTCTGTTCAGAACATTCATGCCCATGTTGCACAGAAAAGACTCATGTGACAAATCTCTCTCTCTCCTTTTTTTTTCGAAAATGATACGATAATTTTTTGATTTCTTAATGCCATAATCATAGGTTGAATAATTTACACAAATTCACTAGCAAATACATTTATCACAACTCATTAGCAAAGTACTGTGTGGTACACTACTCATAATGACCATATCAAAAGTATCACACACATATACGTTTCAACATTAGTTTCATACAGCAAAATCAATACCCATAATTTCAATAAATGGCTACTGCAGGATTTGCTGCTCGACAATGAAAATGCAACACCAAGAAGGAGTGGTCAGAAAGTGATGAAATTTGGAAAAAAGACAGAGATAGTCAGAATACAGAGCGAGAACAGCATTGGCTCAGTAGGATGTAGGACCACCATGGACAGTGATGCACGAAGAAACACGTCTAGCCATAGAGTCAATAAGAGTGCGGATGGCTCTCCATTCCCTTTCAACCATTTGCCGCAGTTCGTCTTCTGAACGAGGCAGGGGCAGAGTCTGCAAATAGCGTCCAATCACATCCCACACATGTTCGATTGGTGACAGGAGAGTATGGTGGCCAGGGAAGCATCTGTATACATTGCAGAGCACGTTGGCGGATGCGAGCAATGTGTGGTCGGGCATTATCCTGCTAAAAAATTGCATTAGGCAGCCCCTGAAGGTAGGGGATTGCCACCGGCTGCAGTACATTATCCAAGTATCGTTGGGCCGTCATAGTTACCTGGAATTGTAGGCAATAGTGCCCCAAACCAATATGCCGCATTGTTGCGCGGTGGGGCATTCCACAGTTACTGCCGAATTAGATCTGTCTCCATGTCGACGCCACACACGTATGCGGCGACTGTCACTGGATAAACAGAAGCGTGACTCATATGAGAACACGACGTTTTGCCATTCTGTCATCCACATCGCTCCAGTTCGACACCATCCTAAACGTTAGCATCTATGCTGTGGGGCAGTCTTCTTAACGGACACTGTGAGTGCAAGCCACGTTCAACCAATCGACGGGAAATGGTTCTGGTCGACACGGGAACATCCAGGGTATCTTGCATGCTGCAGAATCGCAGTACAAGTGACTTGCGGGACCGCCACAGCTTGACCCCTGATGCGTCGATCCACGCGTGCTGACGTCACTCTGGCTGCACCTGCACCCCTCCTTCTTCCCACATTTCCTTGTTCCAACCATGTTCGGCATAGCCGATGCTCTGTGCTCACATTCATATGGGTATCAGCTGCGATTTGATGTAAGGATCAACCTGTCTTCGCAGTTCAATCACCATACCCCTCATAAAATCATCTATCTGCTGGAAGTTCCTTGCTATCTGCTGGAAGTTCATTGACAGCGGACTGGTATTCTCTCCTATTACACGTATCCTCCAGGACAGAACCCAACTTTCTTTGATAATTCGTCTGGCAGAAATAATGACACGAATATTGCCCATTCTGCATGTTCCTTCCATTATATCTTACTTCATGTGCATCGGAGAGCTGCGCATTCCACATCATTCACATAACTCAGTGACATGCGTCTACTCTAAAATTTGCATAAATTTCTGACCACTCCTTCTTGGTGTTGCATTTTCAATGTCGAGCAGTGT